TTGTCAAGGAAGTGAAGTCACTTCCTGGTACCTCATTCCCTGGACCCCTCCTCTGTGTACAAGACTGCAAATGCCCCTCTGGGTACCTGACTGGTGACCCTCCTGCCCCATGAACTCTCTCTATTGCCCGCACTTCCACCAACACTGCCTGATCACACCCCTGTGCAAGGCCTGGGTGCAGCCAGCATCACAGCTTGGAGGAGATACATGTAGGTTCAGCCCCAGCTCCTGTTTCTTATCACTTATGTGACCCTGGACAAGCCACTGTGACTCTCAGGACCTCCCCAGTCTCTCCTTCTGCACAGTGGTGATCATTCTAGCATCTCCTTCCTAAGGATGTCATCAGGCATATGTGAGAAAACATCCCTGAAACCTATGACCGGTGTCACATGTAGCTAATGAACAAGACTAGAGCTAACGTCCATGACAGTGTGGAAGGTAGCATGGAATACGACTAACGACAGGCCTGTTTCCTGCCATATAATCTTGAAAAGGTTGCTTTTGCTCTTGGCCTGTTTTCCCTGTCTGCACCATTCAAGGGTTGGAATTTCCTGCATTCACATTCTGTCTTCCTCCACAAAACCTCACAATGGCTTCATGTATATTTTGGTTTGGACTCAAGTGCCATATCTCTGTCTGTGTGGCGGGAGATTCCTCAGTGGCTCCCAGTGGCCCCCACCATCTGCTGCACACATCCTCATGGAATCCCCTGCCCAGGAGTGGGGACTGGACTTAGTGACTCACTTCTAACCAATAGGAAATCAAAAGTGAGAAGATGTCACTTTCAAGATGTCCTTGTAATGTGCCTGTTACTAGAGTCTTGTGCTCTGTCTCCTCTGCTCTCTCTCCAAGTATCTACTGTATGGCAAGCATGGTGCCGAGAGCTGGACAAAGAGCTGATACAGCTGCACCCTGGACTGGGAGATGATCCCAGTATAAGGAAGAAGAGAAGACGTGCTGTCGGGTGGCTGCCGTTCTAAGAGAGGAAAGGGTAAAGTGATCCAGGAGGCCATCAGATTATTCTAGATTAGGAAGCTACCCGAAGGTGGTAGGAAATGAACACCATGTCCAGAGATGAGCCAGAGGCGTTTGGTCCATTAAGATGACGGCAACATGTATCTTATGTATAAGATACACTAAGAAATACTATTCACAAATTTAAATCCTATTTTCAAAATCATCGAATGGCAAGGATGAGTGCTCATGTTAAATGTAAACATAACTAGAATTGAGGAAGATTCCATTTTTGGAATAACTTTATATCTACATTAGATGAAAGTATGCAGATATATTCAGCAATTCTTTTCAAATTGTATAAAATATCCATTGTGGACATAATCAGGGTTCCACCCACATACTTTGACTGCATACCCTATTTTCTTTACACCAGACACACATCGCTGTGATGTAGATCTGTTGGTCTCAATGTTTTCCCAGCCCACAGCCTACTGGTCCTGGGAGACAGCAACTGTGTTACTATTTTGTGCCCAGAATCCAGGGCCTGATACGGGGCTCCATAAATACCAAGAATGTATCTTGATGTGAAATCTAGCCCATTAAAAACCTAGTGTGGGTTGTGTAACTAAAATCCTATGTTCCTCATTTGTATTGTTTTCTACATTTTTTTTTTTAATTTGAAGGCACATTTCACTTTTATTATTGGGTAAACGATTTGTGCTCTGGGCTTAGAATACTCTATAATAAAAATGATTATTTCGACAGAGATTGCAGGTGGAGAGAGAACCAGGGAGGGGTTACATTTTCAAAAATTATTGAGTTAAGAATTAAGTCTTGGAAGACAGTATGCCTGGAAAAAGCTTGAGACAAAACTCTGAGACTTAATTTGACTATTTCTACTTCAATTGAAAGAAGTTAGTGATTTTTTTTTGAAAAGGGCCAGAAAGTAAATATCTTAGGATTTGTAGTATACATATGATCTCATCCATAACTACTCAATTCTGCCAAGATAGCATGTCAGCAGACAGACAATTCTGCCAAGATAGCCTGTCAGCAGACAGACCTAAACACAAACAAAAGCATGAGCCAGTGAGCAGGATTGTGTTCCAACTGAACTTTATTAATTGATGCTGGACTTTGAATTTCATGTAATTTTTACATGCTATGTAACGTTACTCTTCTTTTGATTTCTTCCTCACCATTTAAAAATGTAAATGGGCCATCCAAAAATAGGTAGGAAGCTGGATTCAGCCCACAGATAGGTCACTCACACCTGGTATATAGAACGATTAAAATAAAAACACAACTTTGTCCTAATCTATATTTTTTTATCCAAAAACATATGAACTGTAAAATATTAACTATTATACTCTATGTACTCTTTTAGCATAGAAATTAATAAAATATATTTTTAAAGTACATGAAACATAAGATGGCTTTATGTACTATAAAATTTTAACGTAAATATTAATAGCTACTTTTTTTGTTTGTTTCTGTGTGAGGTGTTTTTGTTATTTACACTAATGGAACTATAGGAAATTATCCTAGGTCAGTTCAAAGGGAGAGAAATTTTCAATCCCACCCATGTTTAGCACTCTTTGAAGCGTTTAATGCTCAGTTAATTAGTAGCCGCCGGATGGAGAAGGGTATTTCTTCATGCGCGTTGGTGTGTGTGCATGGTTGGGAGAGTGAGAGATGATGTTATGTGTCAGACCTCTCCGTGTCCCTTTTAGATGCCACTAGCTCAATCACTGTAGGTAATGGACCATGAGATACTTATGTGTCTTCTGCCTGGCTTCATGCTTGACGCTTCTGATCAGACACAGCATTTCATTTCCAATATCACCGGTGACAGAGTAAGTGCAGAATGTTTTGCTGCAAATATCAAAAGATCCAGAGAAGAAAAGATAGTTCTACCCCTAAGTATGGATTAAAAACAATTGAAAACAAATGGCCATTTTCAATTCTTTGGTCTTGTTTAAGTTTTATATGTTTGATATCTGTTAGTTATTACTTACATGTATCTAGGGATTATTTGCCAAGGCTGCCAAAAAGGAAAAAAGGAAGAGATATAGAAAATAGGCTGCTAAGGATTTAATCCAGCTTCATTGTGAAACCATAATACTAAAAGTGAAATTTTCACATAATATTCATTGATAATTTAATCTGATAAATACCCACTTGAAATAATAGACTGATAAATCATCACAATAGGAAAAGAACTTCAATCATCTATGCCAGCCTTCTAAACTACAATTATTAATTAACCATTTATGGAATAAAAGCTCCTAAAGGTGGCTTTTAAAATTTTATTTTCTGCTGAAAGATTGTACTGAATTGAGGTGGAAGTCTGAAGCCTAGGAAAGAATACATTCATTTTGTGCTTTTGATTAACTCTGAAAATTTTTTACCCTCTTACCTAGAGGAAGAGTGCCAGTGTATTTTCCCCAATCATCTGTTCAGGAAATTCGACAGATCCTGCAAACTATACTTGAGAGAAAATACAAAGTTTTAGAAATCACAGACAAAAAACCCCAACCCAAAATCAAACAGAAAAATGCTATTATTAACATAAAGCAAAAATTGTTAATGCATTCATAAATTGCTGCAGGATGCCTCCCCACCCCCACCCCCACCTCTTACACACAACCACCCCCCAAACTCCAAGCTTTCTTCTGTATCATATTTGAATTTTCTTTTTCCAGGAAAAGCAGAGTATTATGAGTGTGCCCATAGTAAGAGTAGTAGCTTCAATGGCTTTCCCCAGTGGCAAGTTGAAAAACAAGAGCGTTGCTTTCTCCTGTCTGCTGTAGATGTCTTCATGGGAGCACTGTTTGTGCAAAGAGCACACTTTCCAAGTTTGCCAGAGCAGATCTGTTCATCCCCAGCCAGAAGGGCTGCCAAAGCAATATGCTTATGTTCTACATAATGCAGGAACTGGCTAATTGCTAAAAATAATTTATAAAAAGAATATTTGCCCCTAAAATGTTATGAGTACCTGTGGTGAATGGGAAGTTGTCTTCTTTTGTATTGACTGTGTTTTATCTAATAAAATGAGGAATCATAAGCAATCAGAACATTATGCATGCAAAAGGCTGTTTTGACCTCGGCCAGTTCTAATTTCTTTCTTTTCCCGCACATTCGTTGCCTTTTAAAATTTCTCCACTTGCTTTCTTCTCCATTTCCTTCACCAGTTTCCCTTTCCTGTTCTCTCTTCTTTATTTGGTCTTTGCTTTTCTATACTCTGGTCTTATTCTTCTGTCCACGTCATACTCTCTTGGGATGAAGGATGGCTTCTGGCTGAGGCGTGGCTGTGAGAAGGGGACATTTTAGAGCTAATGTATCTTATTAAAGACAACATAACAACAGAAGAAAGAGACAGGCACAGGCCTCCTCGTGGCCAGGATTTCTTCCTTCTCCCAACAGTGTGGTTCATTGAAATAGCTCCACAACCTCATTAAGGTAATTTTTGTAATATTTCTATCCCTAATTTTTTTTCTTCATGAAAAGATGAAATTTCTTTTGAGTTCTTCTGATTCTCCTATTTTCCCCAATATTTGCTGGCAGTGGAAATCCTATAAATCAGGATTAAGTTCTGACAATTCTGCATGCCAACAGTTAAGTGTAATGGTTTTGAGCTGCAAGCATAATTCTTTGTAACTAGGCTTTAACTTTAGTGGAATTTGAATTTGACAGTCCCAATTCATGTGTTCAACATCTGAGCAAAACAGCCGTCTTTGAGTTCTAATGGAATGAACATAAGAAAATTAACCTTTGCCACAAAAACACCCTATTCCAGGCAAAAGCTTTCATGCTGTTTTGAATCAGTTCTAATTATAGTAGAATGAATAGTTCTAATATAATTCATAGAGTGATGAAGGAGGTTATGGGAAAAGGATGTACACCCAGGCTTCCTTACTTATTCTGTGAAGTGCTATCAGTAAGTATGGGATATTGACCTTGAACTCCATTCCAGTATCACATTTTAAAAAATATTAGTTGTAATCTGTTAGACATTCATCATATACCTAAAAATAATGAGGCACATGTGGCAAATGCTTGACATTTTTCATTATGTTTATTTTTAACCTGTATTTTTTGAACTAACTTGTCAGTTAAAAAAAGTCTTCAGTTAATCGTCAATAGTCAACAAGTTTTCCATAAACCTTTCCCTTATATGTTTGAAAAAGAGAAAACATGAATTGGAATAAAATTTTTAGTTTTTGAATATTTAATATTTCCTTTTGACAATATTAAAGCTGTTAATGCCATTGGCCAGCTATCAATTGCTGAGTGTACAAAACCTGGCTCAATAAAATATATTTGCATATAATTTTTCCAAAATGCTTAAATATGTTTTTTGACCGGTAAGGGGATCGCTACCCTCGGCACGGTGTGGTCCGCACCGCGCTCAGCCAGTGAGTGCAGCGGCCATCCCTATGTGGGATCCGAACCCGCGGCCTCGGCGCTATCAGCGCTGCACTCTCCCGAGTAAGCCACGGGGCCGGACCCCAAATGCTTAAATTTTAAAGTTTATTTAAAAACCTTTATTCTTTTTTAAAAAATGTGTGTCTGTACCACTCTTGGTTGTAGCTTTTTTAGTAGTTTTTGGAGCGATCTTTGGTCCACACTGGACCGTTCTTACGAGTCACTTGTGCTGGCACTTCCATCAGCACTGGTGGCCTCCACTCCGGCCTGGCCCGGCTCACGCGCCCTCCTGCAAGGCCGAACTCAAACTCTGCGTTGCCGGTGGGACCCGCGCTGGTCGTCCCTGTCTGCGCCCCGGCCCGGTGTCGGCGGGGGCGGCGACTCGTCTCTCCAAACCCCGCCCCGTGCCCCGCCCCCGGAACGCAGCGCGCGCCGCCGTTTCTGGCGAGACCTTGAACCCTGCCCGGGGGTCGCACCCGCTTGTCCATCTGCTCAGGCGTTCGGGAGAGCGGCTCGGGTACCTGGGAACTGTCGTCATCGTATTTTACGTCAGTTTTGCCTTTTCGGAGTTATTTAGAGGCTTCTCTGCCGCCTGCTTTGCGTCCCCCGATTCGGGTGGGGCGCCGGGCCGCGTCGCCGGTGCTTTTGTCGCCGCTCGTTGTCCGCGTTCCGTGGAGTGGGTTTGAATCCTGCGGGAACCCTGAGCTCCGGAGGCGGGTGCTTAGCCGCGGAGCGCGGTGCTGATTTGTGTCCTGGAGATTTTATTGCTCCGTGTCTTGAAAAACAAGGTTAGTGCCGCTTTGAATTCACGCCCCAGGGCAAGACTCCAAGGCCCTCGCCCTCGCCCACCCCCAGTTTTTATGGAAACAATTCTTTAAACAGAGCAAAAGGGGCGTGCCTTACTTTCAATCTTGTTGGACTCCCTGATACAACATACGTTTTAAAGAAAATAGTTACTTTTCCAAGGGTGCGGTGTCACGTGCAAGGACGACTAGGGTTTCCGTGTAGTACTTTGTCCTCCCCTCCCCCTTTCCCAGTCCAACTGTGATTTGGATGCAGAAGTGTCTAAAGGTTTACAAACGTTGAGTATTTTAATAATTTCATTCTTGGAGCAGGGGTGAAAAGCAGCACCTCTACATCCCCCTAAAGAGACACTAAAATAGTTGATTTAAAGGCACGGGAGTATTTGCTTTCCGATGTAGTAATAACTTGGTTAACTGGTGAAAGGGTTAATACGTCGCCTTTCCAGAGCTGGTCGTTCAGTTTCCCGTGGGCCTTTGTTACCAGAATTGAGGGTGTTACAAAAATGGTTGGTATCTGTTCAGTATTTACCACGGGCCAAGCACTTTCACATATTACCACACTTGAATGCTGACAACAGCCCCAGGAAATTGGTACCATGGTTATCATGGTGCAATGAAGGAAACCGGGGTTTAGAGAGGGTGGGTAGCTTGCCCGTTACTTCTTAGCTACTAAGAGCTAGAGCTGGAACTCGGACCCACTTCTTTCTGACTGTTCGAGAGCTGTGCTTTTAACCACCTTTGATCCAGCCACAGGTGCAGGCCTGCTGTAGAGTCTCCTGTCTGGACAGTGGGAAGAGAGCAACGCAGGACACCGGCTCACTGTAAGTGCACAGTAAATGGGAATGGAGTAGCCAGGAGCTTCTCAAATCCAGAGTTCCTTTCCCCAGCTGAAAAGAGCTTTGAGAGGAAACTGCCTCAGGCAGCATGGGGCGTGGGAGGAACACTGGACAGGCTGCTGGGGACTTGGGTTTGCGTTCCAGCCCTGCCACTGACTAGTCATCCAGCCTCTGTAGGCTTTGTTTTCATTTGTAGGGTGATAGGATATGTCTGGAATGATGACCTTTTATCCCATCCTATGATTTATGTGGTTTGCTTTTAAAACCTGATTGGCACTGATTTCTCACTCTTGCCTTTTCAGAGTGCCTTTACATTGGTTTGGCTTCTTTAGCTGTGCAGCACTGATTGCTTCTGGTGGGATCATTGGCTATGCAAAAGCAGGTAAGGTTTTGTAGGTACTTAGTCTCTTGGAGAGAGTCCTCAGGGTCCCCAAAGAGCAGTCCCGCTTGAGTCGTTTGCCATAGGCTGTCCAGCTTGAGCGCAGGGTTGGTTGTCAGTCCCGTAGCTTCTCCTGCACTCACTTGTGGTTATCTGGTTGAGCCAAGCCAGGCTTCTTGTCCACAGGCTTCTTGTCCGGTCACTTGTTTTTGCCTCTTTATCTAAAGATAGGCGGGGGTGGTAGTAAGTTATTATCATTGACTGCCATATATTAGCCTGGACCCTAAAGTGCCATCTCTGGGCTCTTCAAGTAGGAGGAAACCTCTAATCTTCACATACTCATTTTTTGAAGTCTCCTTATTAAACTAGGTAGAGGCGTGTCAGTGAATGTGCTTGTTTCTACCTCCTCCACCCCCATCCTTATCTGCATCCCCACCCCAATATGCACACACCACAATTCTTATCCAGTTTTTTTTTTAACTGACTGGCCCTGTTTTCCTTTCCTTTTGTGATTTACACGAGGTTCTGCTCATACACAATTCCAGCCCTTGGTTGATCTGGCCTGGTTTAAGGATGGAAGATCTTTTCTCTTCTTAGATGGAAGTGCCCTTTTCCCTCCTTAGATGGAAAAGTCCTGCCTGTTAGAGGAGAGGGGAATGGGGTGGGAAGACTCTGGCTTCTCTGGTAAGATAGCAAACTCCCCCCAACATTTTCCTGCTTGAGAAAGCCTTGGTTATGAACCGTGCTGAGAAAAGTTCTGTGTGCTGTGTTCCTCTGTAGGGAGGGGGAGTCAAGTGTCTGACCTTACAGCGCAGGCCTGTGTTTGCTTCCCTCTAGGTGGCGTGCCGTCCTTGGCTGCTGGGCTCCTTTTCGGGGGGCTTAGCAGGCCTGGAAGGATCCAGGTGTCTCAGGATCCGAGGAACATCTGGGTTTTCCTAGGTGCGTCTGCCGCAGTGTCTCAGCGCAGCTATGTATCCCAGAATACTCAACCGAAAGGCCCTGGTTTGGTGGGATGTGGCAGGTTCCTCACACTTCTGACAGTTTCTGTGCTTCTGCCAAGTCCTAAGAAAGTTTTAAAATGGGGTGGGGTTGGGGGGATGCTAGTCTCTGTTTATCTTTTATGTATAGGATATGGAAAGGTTTTCATACATCACGAATTTAGATTTACCCAATGAAATTAGTACTCTCCTTGTACAAGCTAAGTATGTGCCTGTTAACCGTGGAGGTTGCCTGCTGAAGACTGCCTGCAGGGGCACTACTGAAATATCACACTTGTGGGTCATGTTTGCATCACTACTGTGTTTTTCCCATTTGAAAATCACTTACCTCTATAGCAGTCAGCTAAGAGTGGAAGACATAGGCCTTCCCTTCAACTTACTGCGTAGTGAAACATGAGCATAAAACGCCCTGTGAGCAGCACACTCAGCGAGGAGTGTTGGGAAGGGAAGATTACTTATCAGAGCAGCTTTCAGCACATTTTTACTGGGCTCCACCCATGTGTCAGGAACTGCTGGGAATGTGGGTCCCTCACGGTGTCTGCAAAGCCACAGTGAGAACCAATGCAGGTCTGGCCCTCAAGAGTGTGAGAGGGGAACAGGAGTGTGAGCAGAGTGGTCTGTACAGGTCAGCCGTGGGCTGGGAAAGGAGGCCGGCCATGGCTGATTCAGAGTGTGCTGGGGAAGGAGCAGGTGCCCAAGTCTCCGTGCTTCCTAACAGCTCCTCGCCTCAAGCTCCACAGGGACTTTCAGATCTCTTCTTCCCCATCTCAGATCCCACTCCTCCACTTTCAGCAAATGACCTCACGCTTACCTTAAGAGAAAATACAGCAGCCACCAGGTGGGGCCTCCCCTCAAGCCATGGGCCTCCCTTCAAGCCATTGGCCTCCACGCCTTCCCTTGTCTTGTTCCCTCCTCTTCAAGGCCAGTCCCTCCACCCTGGGGGATTTGGGGTCTCTTCTCCTGCACCTTCCGTGGAGCTTTACATGACCGAGGATCCCATCTTTTATTTGTATTCCACCTTTTAGCTGGATCCCTCCCATAGATGCTCACACATGCTCATCTCTCACCCATTTAAAAAAGAAGGACCTCTGTGACCCCACTTCTTCAGTTGCTTGCCTTTTCCTTCCCCTTCGGGAACTTCCCTAAAAAATTCAAACTCCATCCCCATTTTCTCCCCTCACACATTATTAACCCACTTCAGTCTCCATTGACCTGTGACCTGTGTTTGTACAACATCCAATGTACCTTTCTTTCTCTCTCACCTCTCTTTTTTAATTATAAAAAAACAAAACTTATTGCTTATAGTTTTGGAGGTTGGGAAGTCCAAAGTCCAGGGAACACATCTGATGAAGTGAAAATAGTGGTGACAGTGACCCAGGCAAAATGGCAGAATTGGTGGAGCAGAGAGAGAGAGACTCTCACATCCTCTCCTTTTAAAGCCCTCAGAACCACCCCCATTATTCCAAGAATGGATCAGTCCATTCAGGAGGGGACAGTCCTCACAATCCAGTCACCTCTTCAAGGCTCCACCTTTCAGTTACCATAATAGGATTTCCCACCCTCTTAACAGTCACAGTGGGGACTAAGTTTCTAATACATAAAACTTGGGACACAATTCAATCCACATGGTGTGCATTTCTCAGTTCCCATTTTGCTTGGCCTGTTAGCTGTTCTTAGCATCATCGGCCAATCAATTCCCATTCTCCTGGTTTTCCTTTTATCTTTTCATTCTCTTTTGTCAACCCATCTTCCTTTCTGGCCATTAAATATTGACCTTCCTAAGGCCTGGCTCTTTTTCCCTTCTTTGTTCTCTTTCACTTAACAATGTCATTGAAGCCCATACCTTTACCACAAAATCACAAGTGACAATCAGATTTCTCTCTCCTCCAATCTGTACTCTCATGAGTACAGC